GAATCGATATGGCAGTGAGTGTCGGTGTTTTTAAACGGAATCGACTGCGAGAGGCAGACCGAGGTCGGAATCTGTTCTCACGGCCGGAGGTGACAAGCGCAGGTACGGGCGGTCCCTTGTGCGTGTGCTGTGCTGCGGTGACGGATGACGATGGAAATTTTGCATAGGAGGTTCGGAGGTTCGGCGGTTGTTGTGGCGCGGCGGCGACGGAGGCGTGACAGGGACGGAGTATTGACGACGGCGGCGACGACTATTGATGGTTGAAGATTCCGCTGGCGTGTGTGTGTGTTCTGTCGGGGAGAGTGTGTGTTTGCCGGCGAATGTGTGTGTCGCGTGCTCTGTATGTAATGTGTGTGTAATGTGTGTGTGCGTGTGTGTGAGAGAGAGAGAGAGAGGGAGAGAGAGAGAAAGAGAGAGAGAGAGAGAGAGAGAGAGAGAGAGAGAGAGAGAGAGATAGATGGGTAATGGGGTGGGTGACAGACTGGAGTGGGAAATGGAATTGAATTAATTTGGGGTGGGGCCCATTAATGTGGTAAATAATTGGTGTGTGAATAAATGACCATAATACCCTTAATGATGGTACAATTTTGACTTTTTTTAATCATTAGATCATTCGATCTAATGGCTACCATTTATTTTTATTTCTTTCATTGAGCATCATTCTCATGTGAACCCAACCCTACATATATATATATATATATATTATTAAGATTTTGAGTATAAAATTTACATATAAATTATTTAAATTAATTATTTGATTCTACAATTGACCTGATGACCCGACGGGATGAACCAATTACTAGGTGACTTGGAGGCCAGGCTTGAAACATGTTGCGAGGCCTGAAAACATTGCAATATGTAAGTACAAATACATAAATAAATAATTAGCTTCCTTTGAATGATTAATGGTTGGAGGTGATTTCTACTTCATTCAACACAAAACTATAGAATGATTAAGGGTAGTGTATTCATTTAGGATTTCTAAAGAATTTTAAGACTTTTAGAAATCCTAGTATATTTAATTCAGAATTTTTAAGACTTTCTAAAGACTTAGGATATTCATTTGAAATTTTAAAAAATCTTACAAAATTATGATGTATTTAGTTTATTTGAGACAATGAGTTGTCAAGACTTTTGAAGATTTGCTGAGATTTTAAAAGGATAAACTTTATACGAAATCTCACTCCAAATCCACCTCACTTAGGTAGGTGCATTCATTTGGGATTTTTAAAGACTTTTTAAGACTTTAGAAATCCTAGTGTATTTAATTTAGACTTTTTAAGACTTTTAAAAGTCTTGGGTATTCATTTGGGAGTTTTAAAAAGTCTTATATGATTCTGAGATATTTTACTTATTTGATACTAGAATTTGTTATGACTTTTTAAGATTTGCTGAGATTTCTAAAGAAAAAACCTTATACCAAATCTTACTCAAAATCCCACCTCCCGGGGGGAGGGGGGGTTGTATTCGTTTGGAATTTTGAGTTATACTATGAGACTTTGAGATTTGAGACTTTTTAAGATTTTCACATTGTTGATACCCAATTTAGCTTCGACTAAATAAATGATGAATGAAATAATAAAGTACGGCCCAATAACCAAAGAGTCGAAAATACATGATAAATAAATATACAAACAGGTACCCAAGACTGATCACTTGAAAGCCGATGGGTCCCCGGATGTCGACTCCACCTGCTGGCGAACCGAGTAGAGGTCAAAGAGATCAGATGACACAGATATCATCAATGAACCACCCCGCTTGACGCGATAATTGCAGAAAAGAAAGTTGTTAATCGTATATGTCAGTCAAAATCGTGGGGCCCCGCCGATTACATCATATTTAATATAATTGTACTAGATTAATATTATATTGGCAAGTGGCCATGTGGGGCATTAAAAAATAAATAAATGAGTCCCCCTATACATATGTGAATATGAGGAGAGAGAGGGGAGATTTTTTTCTCATCCCCATTCAATACAAATAAGATGACATCCATTTTTTTTATGATTTTTGTTCTTCATTTTTCTACAAGAAATTCAACTCTTATTTAATAGTTGATCATCCAATTTTCGACATCAACACATATTTAGGAGGAATCTTGTGAAATCTTAAGTCTAATTAATCAAATTAACTTTCCTGGCAAGAATTAAGTTGAGATTATTAACCAGAATGAGATAATGATTTAATATATCGTTACCAAAATTAAGGGGGTGTATTTAATTAGGATTTTTAAGGACTTTTTAAGACTTTATAAATCCTGGTGTATTCAATTTAGATTTGTTAAGACTTTTAAAACTTTTAAAAATCCTGGGGTATTCAATTGGGATTTTCAATAGTCTTACAAAATCCTGAGATATTTAATTTTTTTGACACTGAGATTTATTAAGACTTTTTAAGATTTAGTGGGATTTCTAAACAAAAAACCTTATATGAAATCCCACTTCAAATCTTACCTCCGGACTTGAGATTTCATAGAATTCTTCCAAAATCTTAAAATCTTAGAAAGTCTCAAATCTCGAAAAGTCTTAAAATGTCACTTAAATTCCGAATTGAATACACCCCCCTAAGAAAAGAGATGGGATGAGATTTTAGGAAGGGATTAGGTCTTTCTGTTTCCCCACTCCTCTCCCACACGTTTTTCCCATCATCACAACCGGATCTCATGCTTCAGTTACAACAAAATCCTGAACCCTCCATCATCTTCTCTTAAAATCTCACAGCCGCACTCCATTTGGCCATCATAATCCATCCCCTTCATATATATATATATATATATATAGAAAAGGGATCCGGTGAGAATGACTCTTAATGCGAGAAATAAGAATGAATCTGTACCATCGGACGCAACATATTAGTGGTTATGATCAAGTCAAATATTAAGTATGCTAGTCAAACATGTGATGGCAATTTTGTAAATAAGTATACATTATGTGGTCAAATATACACATTTGACCATTAATTAAGGATAAAAAAGACATTATATATTTACCTGGGCCCACCACTAACATCACTACCACTATATCTCTCTCACACACTACACCAAAAACACACACTCACCCACACACGCTGCGCACACACACACAAACACTCATACGCCTTGCACACACACAATACACACGCCGTAAGCCCGTCGCCGCCACCCCACCTGCCTCGCCGGCGCATTCGCTGGAGATTCCACATCTGGATCTACAACAGTCTGCCGGAAAAAAGTTGTGCCACCATGACGGCCGTCGTCGACTCTGCCCAATCTTAACGCCGGTCGGTCGAAGTCTCAGCCGTCGTCCGCCAGCCCTTGCCGTCTACCTCCTGTTTCCCGCCACCGGCGATGCACCAGCCGTCCGCCACTTCAAGGAGGTGGAATTTCCGGAGGTTTTTTCGTTCGCCGGTCAGGTTTACGACGAACGTCGACGGCTCACGTCACCGGCCGATGTTGACTGCTGACATCACTGTGAGTTGGGGGATATGGCAGCAAGTGGTGGAGGTTTTTGATTTTGGGTGTGTTCTTGAGAATTTGATTAGATGTAGGGACTTGATTACAATTATCAAAATATTTAATATATTACAATTGAGGACATGGGTTAAATGTGTAATTAGTAAAAATATAATTATTGTTTGAATAATTAGGTTTCCTCTATTCTCTTTTGAAGAATTTATTTTGTGTTGGAAAATTGAGGATATTTTTTCTCCTAAGTTGTTGTATGACTTGTAATTTTTCACTAAACATCTTTAGCAAAAAAATAAAATAAAATAATAATAACTAAAAATAATCCTTCAAAAATTAATCAATTTTTAACATATGGGACTGTTTCTGATTAATTGAACTTCTATTTGACTACTTGTATGCTACCCTAAAAAAAAAAACAATTGACCACAAATACAAAATGTCGTACTGAATTTATATTCGTTGATCTTGTCCGATTTTGTGCAATCTGTTGAGCATTTACGGGCAACCCGTATAACCCTAAAGTGAAATCACAATACATAAAAATATAGATATAAAAAATATTATCAATTTTCATAAAAAAATATAAATAAAAAATTTCGGTAATATTTTTCATATAGTTAAACAAGCTTGGTTATTTTGTTTATTTAAATAAAAATTTGAATCCGACCTTTATCCAACTAATATTATTCAATCGATTAGCATAATTACTGTAATTTTGTTAAATGTAGCGTGTTATTTTAAGGTGCAATGTGTCATATTATAAGGTGCAATGTACTGTTGTATAAAGTGCAATATATTAATATGTACGGTGCAATAATGAAATTTTGATACGTTAGCATGCCTGTGTTTTCTGATATGATAGATACTAAAATATTATGTAGAACATTTTAAGCTTTTTTAATTAATTTTGAGAGAAAATCCATGAATTTTAAGGTGCAGTCTGATAAAGTGCAACATATTATTTTGTAAGGTGCAATGTATTGATTTATAAAGTGCAACTTATTGGTGTTTTAAATCGAATTACTGTAATTTTGGTAAGTTGACATACTTGTTTTTTTATGTGGATAAATAATGTGATTAATATCAAAGTAGTATGTAGATCTGTTTTTTAAAGTAACAATACATAATCGGCCAAAATATAAAATTANTTCTAAATAATATAATTGAAATAATTATTATTTATATTATATAAATATATTTATATTTTTAATATTTTTATTTAATATTTATATATAAAAAAATGTATACAAAATAAGATTTTTTATAACTCTTATAAATTACAGATTTGGCACATAGGCTAAATTGTAATATGACTAAAATTGTTAAAATTGCTAATCAGTCCCTTAAAACAATATAATTTCCAAATACATGGCCCACATCTCCCGGCCGGAGCTTAGCCACGTTCAGCCCCTGACACCGGCGATTGCCGTCCGGCGACGAGCTCATCCCACCGGTCTCCACCACAATCTTCTCTGGCCGCATAATCTGTCATGTCCGGTTCGTCCTCCACAAACTGCCATGTCCGATTCCCGCGACAAGGACTGGATTGAGGGAGATGGCTGTCGACGGAGGTTGGCAGGCGAAAAGAGGTGGTGGTCTTCTCCGGCGGTGTGCACCAGGAAGCATCACGTTGTCGCAAGCCGCTGTTGCCGGAGAAGCTGGAATCCGTCGGAGAGGTATGGTCTATGGCGATGTGGGCGGAGGCAGGGTGGAGGTCGGACGGCGATGTGAGGTGGAGCCGGCGGAGGTTAGGCGGCCGGCGCGTTTCTGTGTGTGTATATGTGTGCGACGTGATGTGTGTGTGATTATGTGTTTGTGTGTGTGCGAGTGTGTGTCTCTGATAAATGTGTGTGTGTGTTACTGAGTGAGAGAGAGTGGGAGTAGGTTTGAACGTTGGGGTAGGTGAGAGTGAGATGGAGATGAGCTTGTGCATAAATTTGGTGGGACCACTTGGTTGATTGATTGTTGATGTATTAAAAGTCCAAAATACTATACTTGATTTTTCAATCCGTTAGATTACCCGATCCAATGACTAGGATGTATTCTTATTTCTAGCATTAAGAGTCATTCTCACCGGATCCCAACCCTATATATATATATATATATATATATATATATATATATATATTTAAGCGTTTGAGGCTAATCCCAGCAACCTAGAGAAATTCACTGAAGCTGAGACCCTCATCAAATCCCGACGGCCAAGGGTAGTTCTTAGGAGCCAAAAATATTTCTTCAATCCGGTGCTAGGTTAACCTTTAAATTCCCTAAGGCTAAGTTTGGATTGAAGGATTTACAGAGGACTTGAAATCCATAGACTTCAAATTTATAAGTTCAAATCCTCATGCATGTTGAGATGGTAATGGAAGTTGAAGGATTTCAAATTCATGCTAGATGTTTTTTAGTCATTATTTTGAAGGATTTTAAATGACTCCTCAAACCTAGTAATTTGAAATCCACTGTTTATCACCGTTGACGACCACGCCGTCCACGATCATTTAGGTTCATCACCACCGCGAGTCAACACCTTCGGTGCGAGCTAGACAATTGATTTATAATACTTTCAACACATCCATTCAAGGAGTGTGCAAGTAAAAAAATTTATATTTCAAAAATTTTGAAATCAACGGATTTCAAATCCATCAAAACAAACGGAGCTTAAGTTTGTTTGTCTTTTTCTTTAGTTCTCGATCGAGTTGAGTAGAGCCAAACCGTTTTTTTTTTTTCANAACCACATTGAACCCCGAACCCAATCATGCCCCGCCACAGACGAGCCCCAGCCGCAGCCATAGACAGACATGGGCATGCCACATGTCGTCTGCATTCGCAGGCGCAAGTGTGTTGTTCGCAGTCGCAAGCGACCCGCGTGAATTTAGCGGGCGCTCCCAGTCATGCTCGCGTGATGCTCGCAGACGAGACATGCCTACAGCAGTGGTCGCGCGATGCTGACTGCGCCCCATGCGCGACCCATGCGACACCCGCAGAGTACCAGGCGGAACCCGCTCGATGACCGCAGCGTCCTAGGCGCAACCCGCGCGACCCGACAGGAGTCTAGGCACACCCGCGCGATACTCCAGGCCTTGCATGCGCAACCAGTGTGTCACAGCAGGCACCCAGCTGCAGCTCATGCGTGTCGGCAGTAGCCCCTAATTCGAGCCTTGAATTGTTTATCCGATAGCCTTTTTCTGAAACCCTTAGTCGAGCCTCGATTTCAAACTTAATTAAATTAATTTCAGAAATTATGTCTATGCTATGTGCAGGGTATTATATTTATATTAAATAATTTTTGGTATGCCGATATCGAGGGGTCGAGTCCTTGAGGCGTCTATTTGGCCATTCTTTTAATTGCACCCGTCAAGTTGAGGTGGAGATATTTTTATTACGCGTTTATTCTCTTTAATCGCATATGATTGTTGTATATGCTATAGCCTTAGGGAAAATGGTAAAGAGTCTTTAGGGAAATGGTAAAAGGCCTTCAAAAAAATGGTAAAGGGCTTCGAGCAATGGTAAAGGGCCTTCTAGCGATTATATGTGGTAACGGACCTTCGAGTGAATATTTATGTTATGCGGACGTGTGTACAGTGATTGTGATATCTGTTATTAATTTGAATAATTGCGCAGTTTGATTTCCCCACACAGTCGTTCCGTACTCACCCTTTATTTACTCATTTTAGGTTGAGGAATTGGCGTCGGGACTCGCGGCGTGGTGGTAACTTTCAAATTATTTGGTGCTTTTATGTTAGTTGAATTATTTTCTCATTAAGAACATGACTAGAGATTATTTAGAACTTATTGTTTATCGTATTTCATGACTTTGGGTTTTTGGATTCAATGCATTCCGTTTTCTTTCGACTTTGATTGTGTTATGGTACTTATGAGTATGAATTGAGTTATGAAAATATGATAAAGTTTCCGAGTTGAGTTCACCAAATTTAAGTTGCTAACTTGTTTATAAGTTATATTATCAAAGTGCACAACAATGGATATTGAAAAATCTTAGTGTTTAAAATTTAAAATGTTGATTTTTGGCTCAAACATTGTTTTCAAATTTTGTTGACACCCCTTTAAATTTTAGTATTTATCTATTGAAAAAATCGAGGCGTTACAAGCCGTGTCATCCTTGGGCAAATTGGCCGGTGGTGTCGGAGTCGTGAGTGGGGAAGGGTAAGGTGCTAGCTCCATGGTGCTTTTTGTGGCGGGGATCTCTTGGGATGTGGATCTGGTTTCGACATGGGCTGTTCTAGTTAGCCGCCACTTTGGTTTGATGATAGGATTTTCTAGTTCAGTGCTTGGGTTGGGATTTTCGTTTCTTGGGTGGGTGTTGGAGCAGTCTAACGACTGTGGGAACGACTTTATTCTAGTATTTTTTTTTTATTTTTATTTTTTTGTGTGTGCTTGTGTTGTTTGGTGTTTATTTTTCTCCATTATTGGAGCTAGTATTCTCCACATGTTGAAGCTTAATATTGTAGTATCTTAGTCTTGTGAGTGTGTTATTGTAGTAGATTCTACGTTATCGTCAATGTTGTATACTCCTGTCTTTAGATTTAACTGTATAGCTGTATAGTTGCTTGAGTCGGTTGTTACTAGTTATTTTAAGGGTTGTAAATATGTGTTTATTTATAAAATCTATCTTTAAATAAAAGTATTGACAAGCAGTCAACAAGTTTTTGGTGATACATTGCGAATATTACTAACCATGTCGTGGTTATATTTTCTCCTCTCGAGCATGATCCAAAAAATTGAGATGCCTCAACCTTTTTTTTTTCAAACGTCAAATAATATTATAAAGATACAAAGTTATACAAATTCTGACTAACCAATGAGTTATAAAACTAGCCCCAAAACCAAAACAACTTACAAAAGGACTGACAACGGAAAACACTAAAACACTTGTGTTTGTTTAAAATTGCCAATAAGGCCTAATCCCAACAAGACAACCAAACATTCTTATCAACAACAAAATTACAAGAAGTGAAACCATCTATTAACAAATAAATATCTTCAACTATAGCACCCTCTAAAGAGTTAAAAGCAACTCTTTTATTTAGGTGTTATGATATAACCTTGTCATTTATTTTGCAGCTAAAACTCCTCCATCCCGAGTAACAAATTGATAAAAACACCTTGTGACCAGAAAAAAACCCCGAATTTGCCGTAACCCTAGCCCTCCTCTCCCTCAATTCAGCGCTCTTCTCACCAGCGAGTGCGGCGCCCCAGCCATCTTTGACCAACACCAGGTTGGAAGATGGTCCATTGGCATCTCTGCGGCTTCTCTTCCGTGCTTGGCGATTCCCCCTTTGTCTTGGGCAGCCATGGCAGGCAACAGAGCAGGCTGTGGTTGCAGCTGGCGGCTTCATCAGGCGGAATAGTGCACTGTCTTGCGGTGTTCGACTCTGCTTTGATTTTAC